CGGAGCTGGTAGCAGACGAAGGGAGACGAAAAGCCTGGACATCCGTTCATGCAGAGGGAAAAGAGAACAAATTGGCATCTGAGGCGATGTCTGAATTATCGTGAAGTGTACTGAAAAAGTGTTAAAAAGGTAGAATCAGCACTTGTGTTCAGATGCTGGGCATAAATATGCATCTGACGGACTGCCAATAAACATTTTTCAAGGGATGGTATCTGCATGGCTGCAGGGATGTCGGTGTACTAACATTGGAGATCAACTGATTTTAATATAGTGCCATCAATATCAACATTTTCATTAGTCCAAAACTATAGTTATGACTAACTACCTGCAAAACTAATAATGTTCCCACCAGCCTTAGTTGTACATGTTAGCTTGGTGATGACGCCTCAGTCAACTAAAAATGTTAGTTAATTTTATATAATACAGTCAGGAGATTCTTTTAGTCGTGTCGTTGTGGTCATATCTTTGAAACTCAGTATTATTATTACAATTTTTACTATGATGTTTTTGTGCCAGAGAGTGCTTTTATTGGAGATGCGGTGTTGAAAGGGCGAGAGAGTGGAAATTGCCTGAAAGGTTCAGCGGGAAATGTCGTCGTGTCATACTGAGTTTTGGCCGCCAGCTCTAACAGAGCGGAGATATCCGGCGGCAGGATTTTCTGATTGCGAGACAGTGTATATGAAAAAAGGAACGGATAGTGAAATCTTCTCAATGAAAATCTGATATGAATTTAAAAAATAATTATAATTCAAAACAGCTCTTATCAGCAAGTTAGCATTTACGTAGATGCTAGCATTGCTGTGGACTATGAGTCTTGTTCTTTATAACTGACTCCAAAGATGAATAAATCAAAAGTGTTTGTTAATTTTCTGTCAATCAACGTAATACACCTACTAATGCTCACATCACTAAATGGACTAATGCTTATCTAAAGTAGATCAAACAACCTGCTTTAACCAATGTTAATTTCTTTGTCATTTCACATGTATTTGTTTAGAAATGACACGGCTAACTCCTGTCTAGTTGCCTATATGCTTGATTGTCTTAATTACAACATTGACTGTCCAGCTCTTACAGAGCCCATTGTTTGTCATCTGTCCGTAGCTCACTGACAGACAGATAATTAACACCTGTCACAGACGGACATGCAGTGGAGTTTACAGCGTGCCCACACATGCACATGCTCCACCCGCCATAAGATGATTGACTGTCCTCCTCTCGACCACAAAGGATCGGCCCACACCAACATGTTCACGTTTACACACAGATGTTCACACTCGCTGCAGTGACATCATGTCGACATTCATCTGCATAACAAAGTCAATAACAAGTGATTTCCTCACTGAGCAGACGCGGTACCTGTTTCATAAAACAAAAAACAAAAAGGGAGGAGAGTCCGACAGATGAGCAGCAGACAATCACTGTCAGCGCTTACATTCATTAAGAGCTGCTTTGTTTCCACAAACATTTGTTTCGATTGAGAAGATTAAAAATACAAATAAAACCTTATTTATAAAATGACAAGATGACATGTCTAGCTAAAAATATAGAGCTTCACCAAGATTAATCGTAAATGCTATTTTGGTGTGTTTTTACCAAAATAAAAATTAGATTAACACTAGCGATATAGTACCTGAGTTTCAGTACTGATAACAAAAGTTTGGTTTTTAATATGTTTTTTATCCATTTCATACTGACTTGATTTAAAAATGAATTAAAATGGACAAGCACCTCAAATGTGGAACCTCAGGGATGTACTTTGAAATACAAGTATGTCTCACTGGACCAGATTTTTTAATACAAGAGTGTCAGCAAGTTTTCTAAAATAACAGTTTGTAATTTCATCTGTAATTATTACTGGGGTGAAGGTGTTAATTAATGTTTCCATATAGGATTAAATACACTGACCAGCGCTGGTAATGTTAGCATCACCTCCCCTGGAGAAATAAATCCAGTCAGAATAAAGCTTCAGTTAGCATTTTTATTTAAATATGACAACGTTATATTTCTGCATGAGGGTATTATTAACACAACATGTGACACTTTTTCTCCTCTCTAACTTCACCTCTGATAATCAGAGGAAAACTGATGACTGTGATCTCTGGTTATTGGAATAAACTGCAGACGTTATCTTGCCACAGCAGGTAAAGCACGTTCTTGATGTAATTAATTACATCAAGAACATCTCAGTAAGCAGGTGAACACGCACAACAGCAGGAAACACACCGGATTTAATGCATCATTCATTATTTACTTACACCTGTACTTTAAGCGCTAAACACAATCAAAATGGTCTACCATCACATGAGAAAACATGCAAAGAAAGATGTCAATACATTTTTGGGACATATTAACAAAAGGAACTACAATTACCACCTCTAGGTTGTATGCCTCTGCTAAACGCAAATGTGTCGAACTAAAGGCATTAATACTTGTCCAAAGACATATTGGACGACTTTGAAATTTGACCACCAAATTCTAATCAGTTCATCCTCGATTCGATTTTATTCCAAATGTAAAGAAGGTCCCTCAAGGTATTCACCAGAATAGGGTGGATGTGAGGTCATATTGACCTTTGGCCCCAAAATCTAAATCAGTTCATCCACCCTGCAGGCGTTCAGGAGAAATCGCAGACCAACAGACGTACCGACAACACATCAACATATTGTCTCTGGCCTCAGCTAACGCCTGCAGGGAGACGTAAAAACACATGTGATTTATCCATCCACCCAGACCAGGTCTACTTCCTGTGCTGTGTGTTGTACTTTTTATTGTCTGTTTATTGTGTGGAACAAGCTGTAATAATCTGCACTGAACACGAATTCCACCAGCTTTGCTGTGTGGTCATTAAAGATTCTAATCTAATCTAATCTAAATTTGTTTCCCTCAGACACAGATATCTAATCACATAAGACATTTTATTCCTTTTTCATCCTACCCGGCCTTTCTTACCTCAAGACTTCTCAGCAGCATCTTTCTGGCTACAGCATGCTCACACATACACACAGGCTTCTGCTTTCAGCATGTAGTGAAACACAAGCAGCTAACAGAGCAGCTTTTGATTGACACACCAACTTATTTTTTAAATTAGGAGGTGTTTTTCAAACTGTCACTGTCTTGCAGCAGTCTTTCTAATGGAAAAAAAGGGAAGCAAACAGGGGATTGAGAGAAAAAAATAATGTGGGGTCCATAAATCATTTTTCCTCCTGCTGTTGGTAGGAGCTGAATGAGCAGTAAAGAGTCAGCTGGGGCATGATCCGTGCTGAACGGGATCCTCAGGGCTCTGCCATACTGGTGAAAAGCTGTTTAACACTGCTTCAATATATATACACACAAGATGGCTAATAGTAATAGTAACTGAGCATACGGCCATACGGTATTGTTGAACATTTTAATCCAAAACTATAATAATAACAAGTTTGATTTCAATAAATGTGTATGTGAATAAAAACACATCCAACATGCTGATGCACATTCGGTAGAATAATCATTGTTTGGTATGCTTTATATATGTTAAAAAATAGCCAATGTGGAACTAATTGAACCTCGCTTGGTAAGGCACAAGTTGTATTATTTTATTTCTTGTATTTAGTATTTTCGGTTTCATAGATTAAGCAAAGCTTTGTCATTTCAGTGCCAATTGGACCAAAGTTTTTGTTCATTGCAAGTACAGAAGTGTGAAAGGGAAATGTTCCCTATTTTTATAATGAATATACTTTACAAACTTAAAATAGTTTCAAGTGGGATCATAAAGCTACCTCAGACCCTTGTAAGAGGATTGTGTTTGTCTATGGCACAACCGTCTGTTTAAAAAATGAAATAATTGTATCCTTATGCGTTTTCCCAAAACGAAACCTGACTCCTAAACCAGAGAATGAACGTAAAAGTGACTTCTGTGAACACACACCTA